TGTTGTAAAGGATATGGGGAAAAGGAACCCTTATAAACTGCTGGTGGGATGTAAATTAATCCAACCACTATGAAAAACAGTATGAAGGCTCCTCAAAAAGCTAAAAATAGAACTGCCATATGATCCAGCAATTCCATTCCTAGGGATATCCCCAATAAGTCAGATTATAATAAAGTCACCAGCACACCCATTGCAGCACTATTCAAAAAGCTAAGCTATAGAAATAGCCAAGATGCCCCACTACTGATGAGTGGATTTTTTTTAAAAAATGTGGTATTTATATACAATGGAATTTTATTCAGTCACAAAGAATGAAATTTTGTTGTTTGCAAGTAAATGGATGTAAATGGAGAACATCATCTTAACTGAAGTTCACCAGGTTCAGAGGACCAAAAGCTTCATGTTTTCTCTCATATGTGGAATATAGGCCTAACACAAATGCAGCAATATTGTGAAAACAGGTCATGCTAAGGGGAGGTCACATATAAGAGGGGAAGCTTAAAAGAAGGAAGTTAAAAAGGTGAATATGGTTGATGTACTCTCTATACAAGAATGAAAATAGAAGCCGGGCACTGGTGTCTGTAATCCTAGCTACTCAAGAGACAGAAATCAAGGATTGCAGCTCGAAGCCAGCCCAGGCAAATAGTTTATGAGACCCTATCTCAAAAAAACCCATCACAAAAAAGGACTGGTTCAAGGTGTAGACCCTGAATTCAAACCCCAGTACCACAAAACAATAAAAATAGAATTTTTAATACTGTTGAAATCACCATAAGAGGGGGACTAAGGTAGAAAAAAGAAAAATAGAGGAAATGAACCAACTCGGATTATAACACACATATAAATGGAAATGTCACAAGGAAACTCCCTGTATAGCAATCTTAAATGAACAAAAATGTCATTTGTTGTTTTTTTTTTTTTTTTTTACAAAATCAGAGAATAGGAGGGCCAAACAGATCCTGCCTTGGGGGTGGTACCAGGGGAAGGGAGGAGGATGTAGGGAAAGGGTGTGGGAGGGTGAATATGGTGCAAATACTGTGTACACATGTATGTAAATGGAAAAACAAGACCTGTTGAAACTGTTCAAGGAATGAAGGGGCAGGGAATAAAGGAGAATGATGGAGGGGATAAATTCAAGTATAATATATTTGATATATTATAAGAACTTTTGTAAATGCCATAATATACCCCCAGCACAACAATAAAAGATAAATAATTAAATGTAAGGATAAGCAAAAAAATTCTGTGTTTAAATTCTATACTTATAAGCAAATAAATGAGATCTGAAAATTAAGTTGGTTTGTATGCCCTCAAAATTTAAAGTTGCAACTAGTGAAATTCTCCAAAATGGAAACTTTCAGATGAGTTTCTAATTAAAAATACTATTTGAAACTTTAAATACATAATTGAGCAAAAATAATCGCATTTCCATTCAAGGGACTTTTTAAGATATAATCTACCTTTGGGAAATTTGAACCTGAGATTTCTTCTGAGGATCAGTGACACAATTGCCTGTAAGTGAAAGCAGAGGCCGTTTGATTCCCTGAAGCCTTCAATTGGAGTGCACTTTCACATCCACTAAAATCAGAAACCAAGAACACTTCTCCAAATGCAATGTTCTTACAAACTGCCTGAAGAACGCCAGTAATTATACAATTTTCCAGATCTTGTTGATGTGTCTGATTTCACTCCTGTCATTTACTCATGCAGCCCATGACATGGGACATGAATTTTAAACGAGTTCAGGCTGCATGAGGTTAGAACCTTACTGATGAGATTTCAGCAGAGGGAGATGCCAATATTAAGATAAATGACATGAAATAAATAATTCAAGATAGAGCTTTTCTTTTTTTAAGTTATGGCATATTCCAATCCATACTTTACCATGTCTAAAAACATATATGTAAATATTTTATCATATTTATTTCAAAGTAAGAATTTTTATTCTTTATAACTATAAAAATTATTCACTGCAGATATTTACAAATGGTTTAGAATAAAACTAGAAAGGAAAACATGCATACAAAGTCAAGACTTTGTAAATTGCAAAAAATAAAAGATGTGTGTGCTGTGTTAAAAATTAATATCCTTTAAAAATATATGCTCCAGTTTACTTTGTGTGTAGATTTCATGTGCATTTAGGATAAAATGCATTACATCTTTAATTATGAATGTGATTTTAACTCCAAAAAAACCCAAACGTATAAAAAAATAAGAATTTTTTTTATACTCTCCTCTTGTGGAGAATTGCAGTTCCTGAATAATTAAACGATCTATGAATTTGCAGAGAAAATCTCTCTTGGCTACCAGTGCTAGACAAAGAAGGGGCTACCTCTAAGGAACAAAAGCGGGTAAGCAGGCATGTCACACCATTTTGGTTTAAGTCATAGTGATTTTTGCTTTAATTTATTTTACATACAAGTCTTCCACTTACGCATATTTTAAACAAAATGCTCCACAGAATAAAGCTATTTGAATAGAATGATTTAGAATATCTTGTTGGCATTTATAAATTACTGGATTCAGAAATAAGGAAAAAAAAAAACCCTCTGAAATGTCAGACCCGAAAACAAACACAACCAGAAAAGGTTTCTAACATTAACAACACCAAGTTGGTCCTCAGATATCTTCGTCTCTTCCATCAAATTATTCTGGTTGGAACAGTGTCATATGTCTATGGAACACTGAGGGAAAGAATTTTATATACTCTCAAAATACATAAAAATATATACATAATTTTATATCACTCAAAATTTTATATATAGCCATTTTTTCAGTGAGAATGGAATAAACAGACATAGAATACTAAAATTATTTTGTTGACATACCCAACAAACAATAAATAAAAGAAAATTGAAACTGTATAAGGTAGAAGGTAAGACTTTTTAAAAATTTGAGAAATACAACCATATAGCTTAGTGTTTTCAGAAGTTAAAATGTAATTGCAAGTGCCAAAATTATTTTAAAAACCAGCACATTTAATGGTCAAAGACATATATATAACTCCCATAGAATTCTAAAAAGCACTTGGCACTGTAGTGAGAGTTGAATTATAAAGAAGTTAAATTACATTTAGTTCTCATGTAAAATAATAAGCTACAAATGCAGTATTTTGTTTCTAATAGAGAGAAAAATAATGTTTGAAATAGTTTTAAAAAACCGATATAAATGAAAAGAATCATGTGCCTTTAATACATTGAAAAAAAATCACCAGTGACTGTGGATGTAGCTCATTGGTACAGCATTTGCCCACATGCACACACACACACACACACACACACACACACACACACACACACAAAACTAATGAGCAAAATAATTTCAAAAAAGATGAAATTTGTCATAAAAAGCATACAAACGTTTAGAGTTCCTTTTCTTAATCATTTGGTGTAAATAAACTTAAATTGTGATTAATAATAACACAGGCACTTCCCTTTTGAGAACTTAAATACATTAACTTTATTTCTAAAACAACCTTTTGTATTCATAATCTTAATCCCATTTTACAGATAAGAAAATGCCCAGAATTTTGAACAATTTGGTCAAAAAAATTATACTGCTAAAATTCAGATTGAACTCAGGCAATCTGGCTTCATATCAAGCTGGTGTTGATATCCCATACACTCAACACTCTCCAACTATGGAGACTAAGAGACGTTTTTGGGGGGCAGTACTGGGGCATGAACTTCAAGTCCTGCACTTGCTAAGCAGGTGCTCTAACACTTGAGCCATATCCCAGTTCTTTCTGGGTATTTATTTTTCAGGTAGTAGCTAGTGTTTTCTGTGAGGGTTGACCTAGATGGTGACTCTCTCTTTTAGCTGGGATGCCAAGTGCTCACCACCATGTTCAGATTATTGTTTGAGATGAGGTCTCAAACCACAATTCTCTTGATCTCTGCCTCCAGGAGTAGCTTATATTATAGGTATGAATCACAACATCCAGCCAAGAAACATATTTTCTTTTAAATCTCAAGGGGTTCTTTCCTTACTCTTTACTTATTTTAGAAGGTAGGGTAGGTGGCATGGGAGGAAGTTGATAGGATTTGTTAGAAAATGGATAACATTGAGTCCCAGGGCTATAACTAAGTAAAGATCCTGTTTCCTGAATCATACACAGTTAGGCCGTCCTCAAGAGAATTCCTAGTTAGAATTCTCAGGCTCACCCATATTAATGTATATGGTGCCTCAGAACTGAGTGCATAAGCTTTCTCGCTGGTTCTTCCCACATGTCTTATTCTCCTCCCTTCCTCACAGTGAAGGTTTCTCAACTAAGACTTTTGCGCAGTGCTTTTCTATTTCTTTAGAACGTTGCTTGTTCCTTTTGTCCCAACACTGCTTTGTATCCTGAGCCCAATATATATTGAAATATTGAAAAGAAGGTCCTTTTCCATAGCCTCAAAGAGAGACAGAAAGACAGACATGGTAAGAGATGATAAGAACTGCAAAGTCTAAAATGTACAACCTCCTCCCTTTACCAGTTTTTGTGCTTGTATATGAAGATTTGTTTATACATGAGTAATCTGAAGCTACACTGTTTCCATTTCTAAAGAAGATATCTATATATTTTGTAAGTTATTGATGCTAATTGGTAAACTGGAATTATTTACTAAGCAACAGGTTAAGAAGGACATCTCCGCGGATGACCACTTTCCTATGTGTATTCATGTAGTGAAGCCACATGAGTAGAATTTTTCGCAAAAATCAGATTTCTTCTTTTACAAAAATCAGTTTGCCAGAGATTTTTCTTGTTCGTGTTTTCTTTCCTTTCCCTCACTCCCTCTCTTCCTTTCTGTGTGCTTTGCTAGAGATTGAACCCAGGGCTGCAGGAATGCCAGCGAAGTGTTCTCCCACTAAGCTATGACTCCAGGCCTTCTGCAGACTCTGATATGTTTCACAAATAAAACAGTGTTACACTTGCTACTGCTTTGTTTTTCAGATATGACATACCTAAGATAAACAAGGCACAATATTGCAACAGTTATTCACATTCTTTTACTTACAGCCCTCATAGATGTCAGTAGGAATGTGTACTGCTGCATGCTGATAGGATATCTGTCGTCCAAAGTTAGCATCCTCAATAAAAACAGGTTTAATCCTCTGGCTGCCTGGCTCGCTGTCATTTTTTTCAGGCTACAGAGGAAAAGACAGATAATAAATAATTTTACGAATTATGCAAACAGATATTTTCACAACTTTCTCATTTGCCAAGCATGTATCCTTCAAAGAAATAGATCTACAAGGATACTTTAAAATATAATACATGATAGCATTGTATGACCACATTTCCATCCATGTAGTTGCTCTCTCATTGTATACTCATGATATTACTCAATTGTAGCCAGCTTCCCTCAATGTTAGATTCATTCTGTAGCTTTCTCATGTAGTAGTATGTACACTTAAAGAACAGGATAAGAGCCTTTAAATACCACACTAAAATTATCCACTTGAAGTCAATCCACAATTTATGTTTCTATACTTAAACTGGGCAGTTGAAGAGAATTTCGTAACTCATGGTATACATAACAACAACAGGGTACCAACAAAAGATTGTTTTATGTTATGTTCTTTTGATTTTTGCATGTGTTTTTATTTTAAAAAAAAAAGCACACTGAGAAATAAGAGATCTATGTGACTCTAAATACAATTAAATCCTAACTTCAGCTGATTTGTTTCCTGGGGTAGTAAGTAACATCCAATCAATAATGATTAAAGCAATTCTCTTAAGAGTTTAAAGTCGAAGATTAATTTCCCATCTATTTAAGCTACACCTTTGATATTCCCTTATTTGTCCCCAGGCAGAAACTAGGAATTTTATCCATTTATCCAAAATCCATCTATAACTTTTTGCTATGCATGTTATACTGGGTTTTTTTCACTTGAAATACAGGGTTTTTAAAAACTCTTTCCTAATTAATATTTTAATTAAATTCATATCTGTATCTTCAATACTTTTACTATGTAGACTGTTTTCTACATTCCAAAGGAAATCTACTCAAAACAAAACTGAAAAAAATCATATTGGACTGTACCACATGACACAAAAATCACAGTGTTTGGCACCACTCTACAGTGAGGACATGATAGAGAAAACTGAATTAAATAACCAGAAAATGTCATAAAGTCTCACTGATAGACTATTGCAAGAATGTAAAGATACAAGATCTACAAAGAAGTGACAGAGTTCACTTCTCATATCATTTTGCAAATTTAACCAACCAGACATCAGATTAGTATCTTCAACTACTGGAACACACACACACACACACACACACACACACACACACACACAGAGGATTTCCCACCTTAGAAACTGGAACATTACAAAGACTAATTCTACACAGCATGAGCAATATTGCTCTTTTAAACATTGAATCTAAAGCTACAGGCATAACCCATCACTGGATAATGAAATCAACTTAGTAGGCCATGAAGATTATTTCTGCATATGAAACATTACTGACAGAAAATATGAGCATAAACTCAATACAAAAGGAGGAACAATTGTGTGACAGTCATGGTTTGATAAGGTATCATGAGTGTGTAAACATGAGTGTGTGGGATTTGGACCATAAATTTTCATTGGAAAAAGTGTTTGAAAATAGAACACTTTTTGTTTATTCAGATGGGAGACATAAAATATAGTTGTCCTTCCATTATCAAACTGAATTTATAAATTAAAAGGAGTGACATTGAAAGTCTAAAATTTGGTAAAATAGCCACATGCAAGAATGACTAATCATTCTCTTTTCTAAAACAGAGGTCAGGAGTACACAGAGGAAGATGATACAGGAAGAAAAATGACACAAACAGAAGAGAAATCATAAAGCAAAATAATGCATTACCTAACAAATATAGCACAACTGCCCTTGGTTAACTTGGTTCATAATATAAGATGAACGCAATATCTTGGGTTCAAAAATGAACTTCAAGAGATTTTTAAATTTATACTCTATAATCTATTCATGAACAGTATTGACTAGTAACATGAACATAAAGTAAACTCCAACTACTAAATGATACAGTTTTATGTCTTAGCAGTGAGCATTCTAAATTCTTGATAAGTCACATTTATTTCAAAGCCCTGGTTACTCAAAGTGAGGTCATTGGAAAAGCATGATCAGTACCTACTACATTTTTTGAGAATACAAACTCCCATACCCCATCCATGTCCTTGTCAATCACAAATTGCAGAAGACATGCCCAGCAGTCTGTATCTTAAAAAGTCTTCTATGTGATCTGTCGCAAACTCAAACTTGAGATATGTGCTCTAAGGTACCAATCATTTAAACTGTGTGTACATGATCATTTGGGGGAACTCCTCTTGAAAAATTAGGATTGATTAATAGTAAGCATAATAAGGGATGCCTACATCTTGTTAACTTACATTTATAGTAGTTTTATTTTTTGTAAATAATAAATGAATGCAAAAATAAAATGTCTAGTAATATTTGTCAAAGGATGCTCTTTTAAAGTATCCAGGGGTTAGCTCCACCCTGAAATAAGCTGGAAATGCCTTGCATTGCATTCTATTAAGAGAGTGAGGCATCTTGGACTATCCAAGAGCCTGAGACATTCTGCACTAAAGAAAACTGTGTTAACCCAATATTTTCATGTTTAGCTGACCATAGAAACGTTTACAAGGTACCAACTTAGGAAATACTGTGAAAAGCCTTAATAGAATATATAGATAACAGTAAATTTAACTCAACTTTGCTACATTCATAGAGTTGGATCAGCCACTGTTCCCTTTGCGTCAGTTTTCTGATGTGTAAAATAAATGATGTTGGACTATGTATGTGGTCCTTTTCCTATGGGGTATCAGGAATCCCCTAACAATACAGCAACAAGCCACAAAGGGGGTGTCTTTTCAAAGAATCTCCCAGCTGATTCCAACATCCTCTTGTACTTTAAATAAGATACCCCAAACCACAGGATCCTTAAAGACCAGTTCAGTTCTAAAAAAACTATAGTCCCTTTTATAATTTTAAACAATGACACATTATTTTGCAAACATCTTTCTCTCAAATCACATCTCCATTTATATTTTGCAATTTTCAGATATGTGAAGTGTAGAAAGATTGGGTGATAGAAGATAGGTAAGTATCTGAGTTAAGGTTAGGACAATGTACATAATGTACAAATACATCATTCTTTCACTAACCCAGAAAATATTTATTGGTATAGTAGAGGACAGAAGGACTTATCAATATTCACAAAAATGCTATTTAATATCAAATCAGGAAACACATGTTGTAATAATTATGGAAGGTACAATTTTACCTAATTAAAGTGATTAAACTAGAAATGTGCCTGTGCTCTGTATTTGTTTTAACATTGTAGTAAGTTAAAAAAAAAAAAAAAAAAACGCCTGCTAAGCAAAAAGAAAATGGAAGAAAAAGTTTATTTGGGGAAGAAAGAGAGATAAAAGGAGAAATGAGTTGAATGGGCACCTGACAAATATTCCAGTATAATTATTTTGTAGTTATGAAAAGTTACTTTATTAATTTATGTGCCCTCTGGCTTTTTCCAACAATATAATAAGCATAGATTATATTTATAATCAGAAAAAATTATTTTCACTTTTTGTCTTCCCTATAAATCTATTAAGCATTTTATACTTAGGAAGATAAAGATTATTACGAATGTTTTATAAATTAAAAGTTAGAAGATTTAAATATTTTATGAAGACTCTTAAATTTTCAAATTAATATATAAAGGGATTTTAGGAGAAACATTAAAATAATAACACATTTCTCAACTTATAAATTATCAAGATTTGTACTAAAATGAATCTGTTAAATTTATTAAAGAAAAAATAATGCTTCTCTGTGGTTCTCCTTTTATAGTATACATAAATCAAAATAATTTCATAAAATATTACAATTTCTAAATTCAACTCATTTTTGTCTTCAAGTTGTTGAAATTATAATTCCTAAGGCAATCATAATCCTTATCTCTACTTATTTTGATATTATGACTAGACATAGTTTCACTGAAATATAGCGTATGTCACACTCACAGGAGACATTTTGAAGAAAAAAATCCTCTATTATCTAGTATGCTAATTAAAAAATCTCAATTTCTACCACTGAAATTAGTATTTCTGAGAGGTTCAGACCATCTATAAGAAAAGAATAACAGTTCTTATTTTCTCAAAATGTCTCTTATCTACAGAAGTCTATAGACTACCACATGTAAGTGTATACTGAGAAGCTGATGGAGAGGACTCTAAAATATATCCAAATGCATTTGGTAAAACACACAAGCAAAACAAGGCTCTCATGCTATTCTGAATACTATGTAAGTTATTAAATAACATAGAGGAAGGACAGCTAATGTTGAAGAGGCAGGTCACTCAATTTTATCTGCAAATTACCAAATTTAATTTGAAATGTCACAATAATTTTGACATAAAAATTCTTGCACACTTAGCATATTTACATCAAACTAAACACTAATAGTTGATATTTATAAGAAAACATTAATTTAAATACTTTGAAGAGGGAGAATAATGGAGGGGATGAACCAGACTGGGGTCCAAAATATGTGTGTATGGAAATATCATAGTAGCTATCTTATAATAATAAAAAATGTTTTCAAATAAAGGAAAGTCTTGCTTTTTGGTTAATTTAAAATCATATAGCAAAATGTTTAAAAATTCAAAATTTATACGTTTTACCTAAATCAAATTGTACTGAAAACAATCACTTTGCAGAACTCAGATTGAAAATGCTCAGTCGTAAACTTTGCTCACAATCAGAGTCTGGCTTTTATTTGCCTCTCTCTATGACATTTGTGTCCCTAAACTGAGACAAAGTTAGGTGACACTAAATAAAAATGATTTGCTAAAACTCTCTATAAGCACTATAATCAGTATTTCTATTTCACTAGTGAAGGAGTTAAATCAATAACACGTTACTTTTAAAATATCGTTCTCTCATATCAAACCAAATTCTTCAATAAGCAGATGCTACATAGCCTTGCATAAATGTATGGGTATACATATTAAAATTTCCATCTCGAAATGAATGTTTATTTTTTGTAGCTACTTTATTAGCTGTTATTTACAATCTATGCAACTTTTACAATACAGACATTACTGGTTTTAAAATTCTTTAGCGTCTCCAGTA